TCATACTGATTCAATATTAGCGCCCACCGGGCTAAACGATTTGCAGCTAGAGTTGGTGTCGGTGTTTCAGGTGCAAATAGTGATATCAAGGGCTTGTGATCTGTTACTAGGATGAACTTTCGTCCATAGAGGAACTGATGAAATTTATTCAAGGCAAAAATAATAGAAAGGGCTTCCTTCTGAATTTGTGCATACTTGCGTTGGCTGTCATTTAGTGTTTTTGAAGTGTAGGCCAATGGTCTTTCACTCCCATCGGCATAACGATGAAACAACACTACTCCCACGCCGGTTTCAGAAGCGTCGCAAGCAATACCAATAGGTAGTGATGGGTCGAAGTGACAAAGAATTGTGTCATTGTTGAAATGATGCTTGTTGCTCTTTACCCCCACTCCCATGGTATATCCTTTCTGGTCAACCTGTTCAGAGGGCTGGCTATGGTTGAAAGGTTTGGTAAGAATTTACCGTAGAACTGCAATTTCCCCAGGAACGCTCTCAGTGTTGAGACATCTGTCATCTTTGAACAGTACTCACGTTAAATGCTGTCTCTTATACACATCCACTTTATGACCTTTCGCAACACCTTGACTTGATAGTTTGTGTCCTAGGTACTCAATTTCTGCTTGTGCAAACTCACATTTCTCCCTCCTGCATCTTAGACCATTCTCCTGCAAGCATTGTAGAAGTTGTCTTAGGTTATGTAAATGTTCCTCAGCATTATGTCCACTAACTAGGATATCATCAAGATATACAGCAACACCTGGAAGGTTACCTATCAGTTGTTCCATGATGCTCTGGAAATAACCTGGTGCACTTTTGATACCAAAAGGTAGGCGCGTCTGGAGGAGAACTCCTTGGTGAGTATTAAGTGCCAGACGTTTTTGACTTTCAGGACCCAACCGAATCTGGTTGTAAGCATCTGCTAAATCAATTTTAGTGAATCCATGGCCTCCAGACAATTTACGCATTAGGTCTTCTGGCAAAGGTAGTGGATGGCGATGATCCTCTAACTGTGGATTCACTGTTGCCGAGTAGTCCCCACAAACTCTTAATTTATTATCCTTGCTTACTGGGACCACGGGTGTACCATATGCATTAAACTTCACAGGTGTCCAGATACCTCTCGTTATCCCTGCCTTATAGGCTTGAGCCAAGTCATGTTGTATAGCGAAAGGCACTGGACGCGCCTTACGAAAAACTGGCGTTGAATTCTCTTTGAATTTTACTTCCAGTTCCACATCTTTCAAGCAACCTAACTCTGGTTTGAATAGATCTGAAAATTCATTGCACATCTGTATGCAAGCATTCTGAAGTGATTCATCTGGATGAGAATCAGGGCTGTGAATAGTAT